GAGAGTGTGGGGAGAGAGTGAGCAGAGAGTGTGTGTGTGAGAGGGGGAAAAGAGAAAGAGAGGGGAGAGAGAAGAGGGAAAGAGAAAGAGAGCGGGGACTTCATCTCCGTATTACATCTAGATTGCCGGGCTTGAAGGAGAGGAGAGTAAGGAGAGTAAGTAGAGTAAAGGGTAGTAGAGTAAAGTAGAGAGTAGTAAAGTAAAGTAAAGTAGAGAGTAGTAAAGTAGAGTACAGTAAGAAGAAGAAGATAAACGATTCGATCTGATTTGATTCGATCCGAGCTGCTTCGAGAGACTCGGGGCTTTTCACACTACATTATATTCCTTTCTTTCTTTTTCTTAATCCGTACTGGTATTCGTACTCGTACTCGTACTCGTACTCTAATATGTCTATCCATCCAGGCTCCTATCCGTTGTACTGTTTGTAGCTAGCTACCTTCAAGGGTAATCCAGGGCCATCTAAACAGTCCTCTCATCCCTTTTCACAAAAGACGGCCATGAAACCGCTTAAATTCAGTCCTAAGCTCTTTTCAAAAATCATCCATCGAAAAGACCGTCCCATTAAAAAAGACATCGTTTTTATCGCCGTCTTATATATAGCCCTTCCCCGTTCATATATATATTTTTTTAAAAACAAGCTTATCAACAAGCTCGTTTTTTCAAAAAAAAAAAACTGAAAATAGAAATAATTCGATGACCATTTTTTTTTTAAAAAAAAGATATATAGTTATTAAGTGAGAATTATCTCTTGAGTGAAAATTTGTTTTCATGATGATTTTAAGAAGTTCGAGGTTGAGATCTTTCGAGGGATCGCTGCTACGGCTTGTGTATTAAGGCTTTGATTTTTTTTTTTTTTTTAGAATCGAAAGCGATAGGTTGAGCAAGAGTTTATCCGCGTGCGACGGCTGCGGTTTGCAGCTTTTTTTTTATCAGGCGAGGGTGTGGTAGCCCAAGGACGGGGTGTGATACCGGTGGGTGGGTGGTTTAAGTAGTAAAAGGGTAGATTAGCAAGTAATAAAAAAAAGTATTTGCTTATTGATTTATCTTTTCAAAAACGGTTTTTAAGCTGAAAGATGGCTGTAAGACGGGTCTTGAAAGGCTCGAAGACGGGTCTTGAAAAAAGGTTTTTTTTTTTATACGAAAAAGACGAGGATTTTCAAAAAAAAAAAAAAAACGATTTCATCGAATGAAATCGTTTTATTTCAATTTACGATGTGAATCGTTTGTTTTTTCAAATTCTATTTAATCTTAAGGATAAGCTTAGAGTGATCTACGAGCTGTGCGCACTGATGAAAATCGTTTTTGAAAAGGGATGGTTGTCGGACGATTAGCTAGCTAGCTGATCGTTTAAATGCTTTTTGCATTCCTTTTTAGGGTGGGTAGCTAGCGAGCGGTGCTTATGCTTATGTTTAATTACTTACTTACTTCCTAATTAATCGTCGGCTCGCTTAGATAGGCCTCCTTTCATCCTTTCAGTCTTAGTCGGCATAAGCGATTGCGGATCGGAAGCGAATGCGGATTTTTCTTTTATTGCTAGTTATTATATACAAAATACAACTTAAAACATTACTCTTTAAATTCACAATCGTATAATTCAATTGTATTTTATTAATTATAAGCCGAAAACGTGTTTATATATCGATAGTTTGATATTTTAAATCGATGAAAAGCTTGCTATTAAGCAGCAAGCTAAAAATTTTTTTTTGAATCTAGTGCAAAATAATAATGAATTACCGATAAAATTTAAAACAGAGATGCTGAATATCGTAAAGGAATCGATTTACGTAAAGCTAAGCGCGAGCGTAAAAAGATTATACGAAAGCGCTGCAAGCTTGATTATTAAAAACGACGATTCAATACTCATTTCAATTCTCGATTCGAAAGAGATTTAATAGATGCAATAACCTTTTGAACGTCAAATTCTGCGGCCTCGTAAAAAAGGTATTTTTCGATCAACTCTTTCTTAACTTGAACCTTTTCTCGATGATAATAATTTAATGATTATAATCGATATTACCGAAGACCTTTCTTTAAAGCAAAATATTATTCTTTTTCTTAATATTAATATCGATAGCGATGGCTTCAATTCTAATAGTAATAGAGATTCAAACGATTCGTTGCGTAAGGTAAGAGACGAATCAAATTCTAATGAAAATAGTAATCGATAATCAGATGTTTTATCGGATAATACGATTTTAAATGTTTCGGAAGACGGTATAATAAACGATTAATTATTCATGTAAATATTTCTTAGTTGTAATAATAAATGCTATAGTATTAAAGAATTTTTAATATATTCGAAAAAATCCGTATTCGCTTCCGATCCGCAATCGCTTATACCGACTAAGACTGAAAGGCTGAAAGGAAGCCCACCTAAGCGAGCCGACGATTAACTCCCTTCTTTACAATTAAAAAAGAACTAATAAATAAATAACCGATTATTTGAAAGAATTTTTCAAGGAACTTTTTAAAGAACTTTTTAAAGAGTTTTTTAAATTTTTAAGAATTTTAAGAATTTAAATAAATTTTAAGAATTTCGTATTTAATACGATTGAATAAGGGCACTTACTACAATCCCCTTTCCCTTCCCACCTTTCTCCCTTCCGTACCCCCGGGACTTAAGAAGAAGAGGAAAAAAAAAAAACATAAAAAAAAAAACATAAAAAAAAAAAATAACACTATTATACTACTGCACTGCTTACATTAGGCGACTCTTAGCTCGTGGAGCTCGAAAGATCTTTAAGGCTACGCGGTGCTAGGAATATGGGTTGGTGGATTATCTGTTTGACTGTTTGTTTGTTTTGTTTATGACTATAGCTTTGCTTCTTTGAAAAAGAAGAAGAAAAGAAAAAAAGGGAGAAATAAAATAGAAAAAAAGAAAAAAAAAAAAGAGAAAGAAAAAAAAGAAAAAAGAAAAAAAAAACAAAAAAAATAAGAACTTCTTACTTTTCCCCGCTACTCCCGCCGCAAGGTCATTCCTTACTGTAAAGTTGTATAAAGGTTAAAGAGTAAGAAAGTGCAAAGAAGAACGAACGTACTTGGTTAAGGTAAAGAGAAAAGAAGAAGGGAATAAATAAAAAACAAAAAAAAAAAAAAACAATAACACTATTATACTATTGCACTATTGTACTATTGCATTGCTTACATTATGCGACTCTTAGCTCGTAAAGCTCGAAAGATCTTTAAGGCTGCGCGTCGCTAAGAATGTGGGTTAATGGATCATTTGTCTGATTATTTGTCTGTTTGTCTATCTGTCTGTCTATAGCTATAGCATTGCTTTTTTAAAAAAGAAGAAAAAAAAAGAAAAGAAAAAAAAAAACTCCCTTCTTCTTCCGCTGCTCCCGCCGCAAGGTCTTTCCTTACTGTAAAGTTGTATAATCGTACCCCTGGTCGGAGTACTAGTCAGAGGCAGGAATGCGGTTCCTAGTACCCTTCAGTAATACGGTCAATTTTCAGTAATACGGTCAACTTTTTCGTGATTCTTCTTTTAATATATATATCTATTACAACTTTTAAGAGAAAAATTATTTTTAAAATATAATATTATTCTTTAAAAATAAACCTACTTTAAGAAAAAATTTAGAAGCTGGTAGGATTTTAAAACGCGGTTATATCTATATATTAACCTCGTCGGCGGTATCTAAATAATTTTTAATTAAGTAAATAATTAAATAATTAAGCAACTACAAATAATTATATGTAACCTTTTAAAAAATCATAATTGATAGCTTTTAATTTACATTCTCTCTCAATTTTAATAGCTTAAAGCAATAATAGATCGATCGGTTAAAGGTTGTAATAAAATGGGCGGCTATTTGAGTAAAGATGCGAGGCTTTTAAAACGGTCGGCGCACTTTAAAAATTTAAAAAGTACGGCGAATTTGCAGAAACCGATCGAGCTATTATTGCGTTAAGCTATTGAAAATAAAGCAGAATAGAGATTCGAAGCTAGCGATTATGATTTTTTAAAAGGTTACATGTAATTATTTGTAATTGCTTAGTTTTTAGTTGTTTACTTGATAGAAAGTTATTTGAATAGCGTCGACGAGGTTAATATACGAATATAATCGCGTTTTAAAATCCTATTAATACATAAATTTTTTCTTAAAGTAAGTCTATTCTTAAAGAATAATATTATATTTTAAAAATAATTTTTCTATTAAGAATTGTAATAGATATATGTATTGAAAGAAAAATCACGAAAAAGTTGACCGTATTACTGAAAATTGACCGTATTACTGAAGGGTACTAGGAACCGCATTCCTGCCTCTGACTAGTACTCCGACCAGGGGTACGATTAAGGGTTGAAGAGTGAAGAAGTGCAAAAAAGAACGAACATGCTTGTATAGAAGAGGAGAAGAAAAGAAAGGAAAAGAAAAAAAAAGAAAAAAAAGAAAATAACACTATTGCACTACTTAAACTGCTTACATTATGCGACTCTCAGCTCGTAAGGCTCGAAAGATCTCTAAGGCTGCGCGGTGCTAAGAATGTAGGTCAATAGATCATCTGTCTGACTATTTGACTGTCTGTCTATAGCTATAGCATTGCTTCTCCAAAGAAGAAAAAAAAAAGAAACCCTCCCCACCTCCCCTCTCCAAAAAAAAAAAAAACATAAGAACAAAAACAATGACACTACTGCACCACTGCACTGCTTACATTATGCGACTCTCAGCTCGTAGGGCCCGAAAGATCTCTAGGGCTGCGTGGTGCTGGGAATGTGGGTTAGTGGATCATCTATCTGACTGTCTGTCTATGGCTATGGCTTTGCTTCTTTAAAAAAGAAAAAAAAAAGAAAAAAAGAAAAAAAAAACTCCTCCCCCCCTCTCCCCCGCTGCCCCCGCCGCAAGGTCATTCCCTACTGTAAA